AAATTCAGCAGACAGCCACTTCACTTCCTCCGCCAGCGGAAACTTTTCCCTCTTTGCTTCTCAGATATTATGCAGGACACAGCAGGCAGCTATAACCACTGGGATATTTTTCTCACCAAGGTCCAATCTTGTGAGTAAACAACGCCAGCGTCCCTTCAAATGACCAAAAGCACTTTCAACTGTTATACTGCACCTGCTGAACTGGTAGTTGAATCCTTCCTTGGTGCTGTCAAGGTGACCAGAGTATGGCTTCATGAGCCAAGGGAGAAAGGGGAACGCTGAGTCCTCCAGAATCACTATTGGCTTTCCAACATTGCCAGTGGTAATCCGCCAGTCAGGAAAGGAAGTACCTGTTTGCAGCTTTCTGAAAAAATCCTGTATTCTTCAAGATGTGAATATCATATGCCTTCCTTGACCAGCCCACATTGATGCCGGTGAAACATCCCTGGTAATCCACCAGGTTGCATAACCATAGAAAAATAGCCCTTTCTGTTGACGTATGCTGTGGTAAGGTGGTCTGGTGACAACAGAGGGACGTGTGTGCTATCACCCCTCCTGCAGTTCGGGATCCCCACTGCTGCAAATCCATCCACTATATCCTGCACTCTGCTCAGAGTCACAGTCCTGCATAGCAGGAGGCGTTTAATGGCCCACCGCACTTGCAAAACAGCAACCACCGCAATGGATTCCCCAACTCCTAATTGGCTCCTGACTGACGAGTAACAGTCTGGCATTGCAAGTTTCCACAGTGCAATTGCCACTCACTTCTCCACTGTCAGGGCAGTTCTCATTTTGGTGGCCCTGCCCTGGGGCAAGCTTGGCACACAGATCCAGGAATGTGGCCTTATGCATCCAAAAGTTCTGCAGCCACTGCTCATCAGCCCAAACCTGCATTATGATGCGATCCCACTAGTCAGTGCTTGTTTCTCAGGCCCAGAAGGGGCGCGCCATCTGCAGCTGCTCCATGAATGACACTAACAACCTAGACTTGGTTCTTGTTATGTCCTATGGCAACCTGTCCTCCAAAAAAATAGTTACCTTCCCCACCCACTCAGTTCTTCTCGCGGCTCTGCAAATACTTCAGGATTGTGCGTCCTCTGCTTGTTACACTCATGACAATAGTGCAGAGTTGTGCAGGCTCCATGCTTCTGTCAGACGACAGAGAGTGAGGAGTGTGCCGCGGGTTTATGGGATTTTGAAAAAAGGTACAAAAATTATGGGATACAAATATTATGCAATGGAGACCGTAATAAATATGTAATAACCTACATTGCTTGATACAAAAAGATGTATGTTTTGTACCCTCTGATGTGAGTGGGCAAGGGAAAGAGCAGCATGTATACCATCAGGATCCAGTATGCATCATTTCAATGCCTCCACCATTTAGTGTGGGTACACGTACCACGCAGACCGCACCTGGAGCATATCTAAATAATTCCCCATCGGCTACTGTCAGCTCCGGGGGATAGAAGGAATCCTGAGGGTGAGTGAATGGGTTGTAGAAGGAGGTGAAGAGCTTGCACATTTCAGCAACTGGCATTGGCAGAGTAAAGGTGTGTGTGTTACTGGGATGCATTAGAGCATTGCTGAAAAAGGGTAGGGTTAAGGTTGCATGGGCATCCTTAACTGTGCAGTTCCTGATTTTCAGAAGTTTGAGATTTACTGAACGCTCTGTAACAGGTCAACATACCACCTCTTTATGAATATAGCTTTTTTGCCACTGAATTAGAATATTGGTCTGTTGAGTTAAAAATATCACCTCACTACAACAGGCCCCAGCAGGGACATGGGGCTATTAAAAGATTACAAAATGGGCCAAGCGGATATGGGAAAGCAGTAGATGTGATAAGAGTTTTAACACAGATCCATGTGACATTATCATAAGCAAATTAGGTAAACGTGGGTGAGATGAAATTGCTATAAGGTGGGTGTACAACTGGTTGAAAGACGGTACTCAAAGAGTAGTTATCAATGTTCGCTGTCAAACTGGGAGGATTTATCTAGTGGGGTTACTTAGGAGGTCAGTCCTAGGCCCGATACTATTCAATACGTTCTTTAATTACTTCAATAATGGAGTGGAGAGTATGCTTATAAAAATCCGCAGATAACACCAAGCTGTGAGGGGTTGCAAGCACTTTGGAGAACAGGATTAGAATTCAAAACGACCTTGAGAAATGGGAGAATTGGACTGATATCAACAAGATGAAATTCAATAAAGATAAGCACTTAGGAAGGAAAAAATCAAATGCATAACTACAAAATGGGGAATAACTGGCCAGGGGGTAACACTGCTGATAAAGATCTGGTGGAGGGCATAGCGGATCACAAAGTGAATATGACCCAACAATGTGGCGCTGTTCAGAAAAAAGCTAATATTCTGTGGTGTTTTAACAGACATGTTCTATATAAGACACAGGAGGTAACTGGCCCACTCTATTCAGCACTGGTGAGGCCTCAGCTGGAGTAGTGTGTCCCCAGTTCTGGGTGCCACACTTTAGGAAAAATGTGGACAAACTGGAGAGACTCCAGAGGAAAGCAACAAAAATGATTAAAGGCCTAGAAAACCTGATCTAGGAGGAAAGGTTAAAAAAAACCTGGGCACATTTAGTCTTGAAAAAAGATGACTGAGGGGGGACCTGGTAACAAGTCTTCAAATGTGTCACATGCTGTAATAGAGTCAAGTCAAAGTTTCCCCAAGCCAATGGCTCATCGGGCTGATGCGTTTAAGGAACATCAGTCTCAAAGCCAACAGTACACAACGACACAAGTACAATGTGGCCAGCATCACATCCGACTGCCTATGACAGCCCTAACCCGATGGATCAGGTACCCATTTTGCAGCTGAGTGAACTGGAAGTGGCCTTTCTGTGTAAGATCATGCAAAACTCAAAAGTCCATTGAAGGTAGGACAAAATGTCATCAGCTTAAGCTGCAGCAAAAGAGATTCATTAGATATTAGGAGAAACTTTCTAACTATAAGGATAGTTAAACACTAGAATAGGCTTCCAAAGGAGACTGTGGACTCACCATCATTGGTCAATCTGTTCTTAAAAACCTCCAAACACCCCTCACAGATGGCCTAGGTTTAATTTGTTCCTGCCTCAGCTCCAGGGGCTAGACCTGATCACCTCTGGTGGTCCCTTCTAGCCCTATATTTCTATGGTTCTAACCCATTCCCAGCCCTCGCAAACCAGGAAGAAGCATTGGGTGCATACAAGACAATATCTTTAAACCATGACAAGACTGGCAACATTTTATATTGGCTTCTAGCGAATAGATTTAGACCTCTGACTAATGTCTTGTAACACTGTCCGGCCCTGTCTAGCATCAATGACCTTGAAGATTCAGAAGCCAGGAAATAGTTCTCCAAACCTATTGATTAGCTGAGAGTTGCCCAACATGTCACTTACAAGGTCCTTAAATGTGGCCTGTAATTGCCATTAGATCTGCCATGTTAGATACAGAGACACGTTCCAAGAAGTTGCCAGAAAGAAAGCCTGGACAAATACTTCTCGGAAGGGGAGAAGGGACTCAAATAAGCAGTGTCAAATCGATGCATCTTATCACACAACACAAAAGAAGGGCTGTTTATAATCCCAGCAAAAATGTAAACTCAAGAATTTGTCATTCACATTTCCTCCTTTTCAGACATTGCAAAGATTGTGCGAAAGAAGGAAAGTTTGCCTTTCCTGTCCCCCGTTAAGGAAGTATGCTTCCCTGTGAATGCTCGGGGAGGAAGAGCAGGCCTTTCTGTTTCAACAGAGCTTTTTGAAAGAAAAGAAAGCCTAGAAAAATTTACTCACCAAGTCGGAATTTTACAGGGGAGAAGGGGGGGAAAAAAACAAAACAAAAAACAAAACCCTATTTAGAAACCTAGTGGAACTTTCTGGGGGTTGCTGGAAGAAGGTCACCATTCACCATCAAACCGGATAGTTTGAGAACTTTCTCCGAATACTGAGGGAGGGAGAGGAATCCCTTCAACAATACTTACAATTAAACAACAAGAAGATATTAAAATTGGGAAAATAGGAGAAAAAAAATCACAATATTGCATAGAGTTTCAATAGAACTAATAAAAGGTTATGCATCTAAATGTAAGAAAAGCAGAAGTTTGGATCTAGACAGGAGATAATGAAAGACTTTAACCAACACTATAAACTGACAAGACAGAAGAGGAAGTCAGAGTAGAAAAGCATCAACCACAATACAATACATGATCAATACCACAGGTATTGGTAGCAGGTCTCAAGGTGCCACAAGTACTCCCGTTCTTTTTACATTTTTAGGGACTTCCATGGGCCAATTTATAATTGTGTATATTAAGTTTCTCTCTATTTAAGTTACAAAGCAATTTTTATATGTTATAAAGAACAGATCTGTTAATAAATTAAAAAAAGCCATTACAAAAGACGACATCTCTGCTACTGAGTAAACTATTATAATTAAGACAAAACCACAACAGCAATCAATAGAGGAAGTGGAGTCTCCCCCTACTGCCACAATTCACAGCAGCTCAACAGGGCCAAGCTACACTGGAGTTTCGAATTGGAAAAGTACTGGGGTGGACTCCTAAAGTAATATGCTGTGACCCATGTCTGTTCATCTTGCTATCAGGGCAGGGAAAATTGCCTGTAGTGACAGACGCAAAAATCAAATCTTTCTTACAATTGTAAGATAATCCGAACTGTTAGAATACATAGCAAACATTAGTTTGCTTTACTGTATGTCTTCAACTATACATTTTATCTGTTTTTAACCACAACCTGCATATTAGCAAAACTTTTTGTTAACTGCTCCTGAATGTCAGATTCTAACTGGTATGACATAATGTAATAAAAATGCTTGTGTGTCAGTATAATACTTTAACATGACGTTCTTAACTCCTGTTACAAAAATGTACAATGTGTCACAAATACTAGCATTATTACAGAACAAGCAGTATCAACACCAAATCCCTGATTTCACTTCAGACAACACAGAAAAGAGGAGAAAATATGCACCGTTCTTTCTGGAACAAAGAGATTCTTTCCTTCCAAATATTTGGGACTCCTGAAGGCAACAACAAGAAGCCTGGACTCCGATCATATAAGCTACAGTCGCCAGACTGTGAGGACTTGTCCGCACTGGTCAGGGTATATTGCCATGTCCATGCCCAAAGAGCTGGTATTAAGGCACAGATCGGCAGGCGTGAGCTCAGGGTTGTTTGCGGTCTAGCGCCACCCCAGATGGCTGCAGCGATCCCTGTGACTCCATAAAGCCCTTTCGGATCCGGGGACGCACCAGAAAACACGAGACTGCTCTTAGTCCAGGCTGGCGAGCAGGAGGTTCGGCACCCGGAGCCCCGGGACAGGCTGCCAGCCGGGAATCTCACCGGAGCACAAGTGCCCAAGGCTCCCACGTGGAGCCAGCTCGCCCCCACCCCACCACTGAGAGGGCCCGGAGCCCCCTCCCTCTCTCTGGGAGTGGGGAGAGACCGAGCCCCGGATCTGTCCCCGCCCGGCAGAGACACTCAGTCCCGGCCTGCTGCCCTCCGCACTCGCGTGGTGTGGACCCGAGAAACCCAGTCCCAGTAACCGTCCCGCCCCCGGCCCGGCGCCCGCTGCGGGAGCCAGACCCCGGGGAAGGCGGGGAGTCTCCGATCCCGGCCTCCCCGCAACACGCGGCCTCCAGCCGGCCGCGCTACAGGCCTCCGCACGGGCCTAGCCCTGCTGCCAGGCCGCCTCCAGCGCACGGGGCCCGGCCCCAGCTCCGCCCCCAACACCAGCCGGCTCCGCGCTGAGGCTCGGGGAGCGCCAAGGCCGAACTCGCCGCCCCGAGCCCTCCGCCGGGGCCGCCCAAGCGCCGCTGCCCGGGTCCCCCTCGCCGAGCTCCCCCAGCGCTATGCCCGGCCCGGCCCTGCTGCCGGGCTCCCCCCGATCGCCCCGGCCGCGCCGTTCCCCAGGCCCCGCCCGATCCCCCAAGGCCCCGCCGCCCGGCTCCCCCTGGGCGAGATCACCCGGCGCCAG